AAACTATCAAACCACACTGTCAAAAACCAGCCACAATGGTAAATGATACCACAATAGCTTGCAGATTGAACCCCTCTGATCTATTTCTTCAGAAAATATATAACCATTTTTTGGTGCATATGTATCTTAATCTTCTTAAAGTGACATGATATGCTCAATTACATTATCCAACGTGGTTCTAACAATATCAGATGTGACTGTAAGCTGGTGTGCTTTAAATCCCTCTTCTTTCTTTTTCTTGCAACCGCAGGATGTGAACGCAGCTGGTTTCACAGCTTTAGTCAGAGTGGAAAACTATATTCAACTATTGTGGTTCGGTGGTTTGGAGATCGGCTCTGATTTGACCAATTGTAAACACTGGCTGGATCCCCTATGCTAAATTGCTGTAAAGTATGACCACAAGATTCTGTGTTGTAATTTTAATCTTTACACGGTTTCATCCTGCCTACAGACAAGCATTAACTCCTGCAAACACACAGAATTCCTACATACTCGTGTCATTTAGACATACATAACCATACTTACAGCTCCACGTGCAGCTTTATGAAATTATTGTTATTGTGAACTGGCTAAACAGTCATCACTTCCTGGACCTGTGATTTAGGGATCACTGTCTGACCACACTCACTCTGTCTGCCTCCAAAGCTACTGTCACCAGACATGCTGCACTACATCTCACTCAGCAGAAGCATTTTCCAACAGCCCCTAAATGCTGACGATGTTGACAGTATGCACAAATCCAAACCTCTGCTTAAATATCTATTGCACTTGCCCAGTATTATGTCATCTTCTACACTAAAGTTAGACCTTTTACATGAAAGAAAGTAAAAAAAAAGAAGACCTCAAATGAATTGCATTGTTGCTCCTTAATTGTTGCATGATAATAATACAATAGTTATATTCTAAATAAGATGCTACCATATCAAATTACACTGAAAAAGCCTGTTTTATGCTCTCAACTTGTTTCAGTTGCTAAAAACATTGCATTAAAAACAAATACAACTTATGCAAATACAACTAATAGCTGTTATTGACTATTGATTTCTATGCCATTTGAATTTATGAACGCGTGGCGTTTCAACTTTCTCTTTTTGGAGTGGTGACCAAAGAAAGATGACCCCCTACCTCCAACACTGGCCTTCGTCAACTTGAAGCCCCACTGCTGCTTATCAAGCAGACCACACACAGAGTGAGAGGAAGCTCAACAGCCCCCAATAGGAAGCAAAACGAAACAGGAGAGAGAGGCAAAAGGGAAAGGAGTTAACAGTGTTGTTATCACAGAGGGGGGAAAAATGAAATGGTGAGTAGTTTTTTCCGCTATAAAAACTCATAATGTATGTTCACCACCTCTCCCATGTGTCAAGGGTGTTATCCTTTGCATCTCTCATCCACCAGGCAGACTTCTTTCTCACAATGTTGCTCTTAAAGTATGTTTGGTTTATTTTCTTTTTATATGGAGTTTCCGTCATGCTCCACTCCCTCTGTGGTTCCAGCACGACTGGCCAAATGGCAATAAAATGCTCAAAGGACATCAGAGAGGGAAAGGAGACCTATTTGTTAACCCAACAAAATCTCCAGCGGTTAAAAAGCAAATCAACATGCAAGAGAAAGAGAGCTCCATTCTGTTTAGGTGACGTAGCAAAGGCCAAGACAAGTGGCTTAACAGCTGAGTTGAAGTTTCTCACCAGTCAAAGTCTGTGCAAAAGATTGGTCAGCCAGACATCTGAGTTCAGTGCTTTATTTTGGGCAGATATTTTTCTTTATATACAAGGCCAATTACAACCTAGCCCCTAGCCACATTGCAAAATATAAGAAAATAAACAAGCTACTGTAGACATATTTAAAAAACCATAACTCAAACTGGGAAGTTTTGGCTGTATTAAAAAGAAAGAAGTCATCATAAAAACAAGTGCGTCTGCTCAAATTAGGACTTTGAAAAATAGACTGGGATAACTGACGACCATGCAGAATGGTTTGTGCGATGTGGAGGAGTGGATTGTAAACAAGAAAGATTTCCTTTTCCTCTTCAGGATTTATGAAGCCTTGAAATTGAAACCATATCAAATCTGTACATGGATAACCTCTAGATTTGCATAAGATCTATGAATGGAAGAGAAAGCAAAGTCGCACTCAATGAAACAACAAAGAACGATTAAATAAACGATAGGTCAGTCAATCCTTGTAGCTGTGAGATTAAATTAGCTTCTTAGGGCTGCTGGAAAAAGAATCAAATAAATTCCTACTACATTTAGTCTGCAAAATTTTGGTGTATTACTATGAAGTTATGAAATATGAATGAACTTTAAGTTTCTTGGTGTATGTTGACTACAATAGACTGTCCACCTCATGGCGCTAATGACCAGCCCTTTCAGCAGATGTTCCAGAGGTTTCTAAAGTGGGATATACCATTTGCCAGCCTTGACTTGCGAGTGATGATGAGCAGCCAAACCAGGAGGAGTCATTTCCATTGTTTCCTACTTTGGGCATACTAGTGGCCACCCTTAGTGGGGTAATGACCAGCTGGCATGATGGCGACTAGCAGAGTCAGCTAGTGCAGCTGACGGAACAGATTAGTTATCCCCTTCTCATTTCTGACCGCCTGCCTGTATGCACAAATCTTCTGGGCTGACGGTGGCCCGATCACATTTGGCTTCCTTCATTTTGCTGACTTTACTGGTTGATGCCGGCTAAATTATAGGATTGTATAAACAGATTTTTAATATTGACTCAAAATAAGTGCTGTAATGTCGCATGAGTTTTAAGGGTGCATCAGTCGTTGGCCACGCAGAAATAGTTCTATCAATTTATGTTGGTGCTGGTTTTTTAGAATAATGACAGTTTCCAAGACTCTTTCAGCCAGCACATATCTTCATCTTCTATATGCTTTTGTTTACTCAGCGTACGTCCCACTGTCCTGGAGCATTTCCTCTGGTCTGACACTGGTACACAATGAGTCACTTGGATCTCCCAACTGCTGTTCAGTGACCCGGTCACTGTCTGGGTCATCGCGTAGCTTTGGACGTTGAATAGCCGTAAGAAAACACACTGATCTGCGAACACTTGATGAAACTGGTCTTAAGCTCCCTCTGGACTGTCCTGGCGGCCCCTCGTGGCACTTGCAGCCGTGCTGGAGTACAGGCATGTAAACCATTTTGGCCTGACACCAGTTGTTTTGACTGAGAGCACTGAGGCACTGACTTATTGTGCAACGCAAGGCAGAGCCTTGGCTTGGCCGGCTATACTGCTGAAAGCCATGCTGTGTACCCACCCTCGTTACGAATGGAACGATCATTTCCCAAGAAATGTGTAGTCAGTGATCTTGGAAAGTGTTGATTTACACAGTGGGCTTTACATCTCATCCCGTTTCAAGTTAGTTTGACCGCCTTTAGAGGGGATTCAGTCATATCAGTGCTGAGGAGACAAACAAAAGAATGTTAACCACTTAAAAACATTCAGTTGACAGCAGCTGAATACCCACTAGAGGAATAAAACCACACAATTAACGTGATTTGCCCAAGCAAAGTGGCACTGCATGTGTACCTGAACAGTTTTTTACGAGTGGGAAGAAATTCAAATAAATTTGAATGGGATGAAGAACGCTATGAGCTTTCCATCAGGTCTCCCAAGATTACGAATAATTGTGTTTTGCTGTACATCAGCATGCAATCGTGTGTGCAGGCCATGCAGTGTGACACGTCCCTGTCCACTTCCTGTATGTCCTGGTGCGTCCTAGAGGGTATCGGACTTCTCCAGTCAGTGGACGCAGCAGGGTGAGTCAAACCACTGCATGCCTGCTGCATTAGCAAGCAGCCATTGAAAATAAGACAGGATTATATTTCATAATGCATCAGAATTTGCTTTTGTTTAATTGTAATCTTTTAATTTATGAAGCCATCACGTGTATTCTAGTGGATAATACAAAGATAGAATGCTCATCATGACAAAATATTCCTGATGGAGAAGTTTAAAGACAATCTTCTCACCAGGACCACTAGTAAGTCCTTCTAATTAGAACTTATTTGTTTACAAACTTTGACTGGGAACAATTTCTGACATTTTAGCGAATTGCAAGGCTTTGGGGCTGTATGCCAGTTGAAGACCTGGACACGCCCGTGTCCCGTGCTGTGGACTCAAACCTCCCAAAATGATTCCACCACAACTCTTTTACCGCCCAGATAATGATTCATTACAGTTGCAAAGCCCCACACTGGGTTTAACAACTTATTATTCCTGTAAAGCCCAGCCTGCAAGCCCTGCCAATAAACAAACATACTGTAATTAGACCATTTAAAACCTAAAAGTTGGACTTTGCAGTGCTCACTCTTGGTGGTCTTTGAATCCGAGTTTTTTTGTAGGCAATACATCAACTTTCAATTAAAAAAAGCTCTTCTCATTTGTACGCTTGCGCTTTTTAATGTTACTACAGAGAACGGTTTATTTAAAATGAGATGTTAGCACAAATTAATTTTCAATAAATAGACAGGGCTACAGCTTTCAGGCACTTTCAGAGAGCAGAAACGTGGAGCTTCCAGTGCTCATAGTGAACGTATGCATCAGTGGGTGACTTCCTGCACTGGCCACATTCATGTGGAATTTCTATATCCTTTTTTTGCACGGAAGAACATAATAAACCAGATCATTATTTATATTTTTTCTCTCAAGTCCATGCAAGAGAACTGTAATATACGGGCCACTAAGCCAAACACAGTGACAAAAAACCTCCAAGATAAAAAGAATCTCTCCCCAGAGATTTTCTTCTTGATTCATTAAAAAAAAACATTTAATCCCCCCCTCTAATAAGCCACCCTGTGGAATCAGCTCTTTCTCATTCACTTGAACCAGACTGGATTTTTAAGGGGAAACCCAGGCTACCTTAATGAAATATCCTGAGCAGTTCCTGCGCACGAGGGGGGGGGGGGGTGGCTGACTGTAGAGGAAATTTGATCCTGCATGCGGCCCTTTAAAGGAAAAATGGGATGAGTCTGTTGAATGGAGCTGTGAGTGAGCTTCACTGGAGGCTCCGCAGAGAGCGACGGGCGGCGGGGCCGGAGCGGGACGGCGCAGCGCGTGAAAACACCCAGGAACAAAAAAATGAATGAGTGAAGGACACGGACATGAGCCGACCCGCGACCAAGTATTACCGGCCAAGGCGTCTGTGAGCGGAGAAGCCCGACAAAGAGGGGGGCGCACAGGAAAGTCACAAGGTAAGGGCGCTTTGGGGTTCCGCCGCGGAGGAAAAGGACGGCGGGTGGTTTGGGAACGTCAGAGTGCGTCCACGCTGCAGGACACGTCTGACCTGCTCTCTAACGTGCAGGCCGATGGAGACAAAAGACCCCGGAGCTGCTGCTGCTGCTGGGAGATGTCTGTCTGAACTTTTTTTTTTTTTTTTTAGAGACCGACAATTTATGGTTGCTGCTACTGAGCGCGCACACCTGTTCCCTGTGGCCTTGTTGTCGCGGACACTTTTGACCACTGTGCGCCTTTGGTGTAGTTGTTAAATAAGTTAAGGAATGCCTGTCCAGCATGCTGGAGCAGGACTGGATGATTCTCCCTTTTTTTTGTATTATTTCCCCATCATCTTTTTGGTCAGTGGTGGGGAGATCATGATGGTTTCTCCATCAGCTTAACCCCCCTCCTCTGATCTTTTTCCCATGCGCACAATATGTAAGCTCTATTCTCTCTGAGAAGCTGTGATTTGGGGTGTCTTTGAGAAACAAAGCCTCTGCCCTGCAGTTATATGCTGGAAAGACTTTAAAGTGTGTTTGGAGGACGGCAGAGTTGCGGAGGTAGATGTTTACACCTCAGTGGAGAGGAATGTCAGGCCCTGTGTTTAAAGCGGAGACTGATAATGAGTGTGGTCAGTTTGTTGGGGCCTGTCATTAACTTGCCCAAGGAGAGAGCGGCAGGTTTGCTTTCCTGGCAAAGGTTAGAGCCGGAGCGGAAGTGGAGGAAAGAAGGGAGGTTGGTGAAAGGTGCTTCTGGAGAAGTGGGAAAGAGTGCAGGGGGGGAGGGAGAGTGAATGACCCCACAGATTAGAAGGGTAATGTGTGTCTAATGAAGATAATATTTCTGTCTTTAAAAAAAAAAGAAAACAAAAAGAAGCAGACTGGCAGTTTCCTTTGAGCCTTACAGTCTTATGAATGTGGGAGCAATTGTTTTTATACATGGAAAGAAACAAGAAAATTTTCTTCTTCTCTGTTTTATGCAGTTGTCCTCTTGTACTCGCTGGCTTTAAAGTCCCTCACTTTGCACAGAGAGGGTCAGAGGTGGAGCTGTGCTGGTGGTGCTCATATTTTATTTGTAGGGGTGTGTCGGAGCTGCAGTCGTTTAATAAACACAAGCGTGAGGCATACTTGACTGGATGCGAATGGACACGTGCCCACTATTAGAGGTCTGTGGCCACAGCAGAGAAAACGAGGCAATATTTAAAGCATGCATACTTGACTCCTTGCACTCTCAGATGATTTGTCTGTGTCACTTTGCGTATACAAAGAGATCTGCCACGCCGACACCAGGCGGCTGCAGCTGACCCAGATTTCCGCACACGCTCCTGTGCTCTCGTTTTCATTTTCCAAAATGTTGGGAGGCCAGATCGGACCTCAGCAGAGACAACAACAGTGGGGATTTGAAAAGTCTGGTGGGGATGATATCACTGAACCACCTAATCACTTACATCACCACAGCTGCATGCTCAGCAGTGTGCTGGTGTGTGTCTGGTTCCAATCTATTTCTCTTTATCTCCATCTGTGTCTGTCTGCTTTGGTAAGCAAGCTCTGGGGAGCTGCGACTGTCCGCCGAGTGTGTGTTTGATTATGTGTTGACTAAGGAGGTCCACTGGTCCTCAGTTCAGCGGCTCACACCCCTCAGTGGAAGCAAAGGCTCGGCCTCTAAGTTCATCACACAATGTCCCATCCAAGCTCTTCCATTCCAGCCTGTGACGAGTCCCAGGCTCTGAATGAGAAGCTTCCCCTGCTGACTAACAAATCTCGCTCACTTTGAGGAACGACTATAAAACTGTCAGTAGTCAGTGGAAAGCACTCGCCTGCGGGGGAAGCCGTAGCAACTGTCCTCCCAGTGTTGTTGCTGCTCCGTTTCCATTCACTCGTCTCTCCCAGTGTTTGCTCTGGCCAGGTCTGTGTGTAGCTAAAAAGTAGAGAAGCCTCCGGGGGCTGTCACATCTGTCTGCGGTGCAGGAGAGGAGTCACCACTCTGGACTGCATCCCTTCACCCTGGGTGGCCCATGTGCTAATGAACGTGTGTGTACAATGGGCAGACGCCTTAGTGCTGCAGCAGCTGCCCACACCCCAAGAGCTGGTCAACAAGATGAGTGCCTTTTTGATTTTTTTTTTTTTTATCAGAATGCAAGTAACAGGCTAAATGAATTTTGATGGTCTTTGTTGTGCTGATGGTACGCCGGCACCCGCTGGTGTTGTGAGCTGACAGTGAGCGGCTAAAGACTCCCAATCCACTCTGTTGCCTTTACTCCTTCACAGCTTTACGCATTGAGATCAGTCAATGCGGCCCTGCGACCTGAGCTCCCTGCGCCCAACAAGCAGCTGGAGGTGACTTGGGGGAAAAAAAATTAGCATTGCAGTTCTAAGCCTGTTTAAGCAGCAAATGGCGTGTTTACACCCAGCTGTTTTAGTTTTGTGAGGAAGGCCTGGCCTCATCTTTCCCTAAATTGCCACAGTGTAACCCGGAATGGCGAAGTCAAGCAGGCCTGTCCTGCCTCTTCCATCCAGATTTGCTGGACCTTTATCCCCCTGGCTTTGCCCCAGAAAGAGGAGAAGCGTCTGAAGCTGGACCTTGGCTGTCCAGTCTGGGTAAAGTGGTTGCCTGGTGAAACCTCTGCAGTATGACTTCTGTAATTTGTTTGCTAGACCTGTATTTATAAGCATGCTAATTGTAGGGAGGGTTATGGTGCACTTATAGCTGCTGGACTTTGAAAGGCTGCTGTTTTGCTGACTCTGTCTGGCTTCACTTTGAGTTCTGCTGAAAACCTTGTAAAGTCCCTGAAATTAATTTAAGCTGCATTTCGATTGACCTTTGTTGCCTCTTTTTTTTTGTTTTTTCTAACTGGTTTGCCACTATACTTCTTTCACCTTTTATTAATGTGCACAGGACCAAAGAGAATGAAGTCCACTATTGAGTGGACCTCAGGTAAAAATGACTTAAGCGCCCCCTTTTCCCACATTCACCTCTGGGCCTATTCATTGTCACACATTCTTTCCTCCTTTCTCTGGTTAGGCGAGCGGACAGCCCCCCTCTCTAGCTGTGATGGGACTGTCATGCAGAAAGACGCTATTGTCCCGTCCAAGATTCCATTTCACTCCTTCCTTGTAATTAAGAAGGGATTGGACGGCCGGGGAGTTTTGGGTGGGGGGGGGGAGCAGGGGATTGGGTTAGTAGGTAATTGGGCTAAAATGCAGAGCTGACCTGCTTTGTGGCTGGCAGGCCTGATATTCTGCTTACATGAACACCAACCCCCCCACACACTGAGAGACCCTCCCTGCAGAGGTTTTGTTCCGTGTGTGTGGGCATGTGAGGAGACAGTAGGTGAAAAGGAGAGGAAGATTCAGGCTGTGATAATCTGCCTGTTTCTGTGTACTTAACATGTGTATGCTCGGACTTTATTTGGTTTGTATGTCACTGAGCTACACAGAAAAGGAGAGAAACATTTGGATCATTGTTGACTCATTATTGATATGTATTGCTCACATTTCCTCTGTGAATCATGGGAAGTGCGGTTGGCCAAAAGGATTTCGATGTTAAATCACTTGTTTTTTTTGGGGTTTTTTTTCACATCTTTTGCTGTAAATGAAAACAGAGCCTTGACTACTTTTGGAAATGTCATTTCCAGGTTCATACAATTCATTCCCAACAAAACAGTCAGACTTCAAAGGCAAAAATGTATTTTCTCTTTTCTAATCTTTCCTGTAGACTGAGTTTAGAGGAGCACGCCTGAATCCCCAGCCATGGCTGACGTGCTGGAGAGCAGCGGCGGCGGCGTGGTCGGAGCAGCCAGCGTGGACTGGCAGAAGCGCTGCATCGCTCTTGAGTTGCAGCTGCTGAGGTTCCGGCTACAGGCGGGGAAAATCCGAGAGCTGCTGGCTGAAAAGGTGAGACTGAAAAGCTTCGGTAAGCGGTATAGCAAACAGGGGTGTAAAGTCTGAAGTGACGCACGAAGACAAGAAACTTTCTGAAAAGTGCACATAAATCTTAGTCTCTTCTCTTTCTGCACTTGCAGTTTGCAGCTGGAGGTCTGCTCTCACAGCTGGAACGTAATGAGAAATGATCACTGTTTCCCAGCTTGGGATAAATAAAGTAAATCTATATATCTATCTATGATCACAAACCTTTTTTTATTGCTTAGTTACAGTTGCAAAAATGGCTGGAATAGTGATTGGGACATCAGTCAACTCACACCAGTTGTCGATGTTAGTTGTGGATGAATGTTTGAATGGAGCAACTGGTGTAACTGACCAAAGAAGGGATCTAACAAAACCTAGGTCACAATATCGCAATATGTTGCCTGACTGAAGACTTCGAATTTGCAAAAGTCTCAAAGTAAGATTATGCTATTAATATGCAGAAAAAGCCAGATGTCACTCCTAACATAGTTTTTCTTGAAACTCCTACGTGACTTTTATAAATGGCTTTATTTTTTGTGGAAATAGTTCAGTTTTTCCTAATCCTAACCAAGTAAATTTTGGGATGGAAGCCAAACATAGCAACAGATAAGCAAACAGATATACAGCTTTTTTTTTCACCAAAAGAACTCCATCACCATAACAGTATTGTTTGGTGGATAAGGAGCTTTTTTCTCCCACATGTCTTCAAAAGTTTTGCTGAGAAGAATTTGCTGTGTATCTGTCATGTTTTTTTGTGATTTCAAACTATAATAAATATTGCTGAATAGAAAAAGCATGACAAGGAAGGTTCTGTTACCTGGTTTGGGCTGAATAACCTGGAAACCAAAGTCTCAAAAAATGGTGTCAGAGGCTAATTTATATTTGGCTTGGAAAAAAAGGGAAGTTGAACTGAAAACAAAACCACAAAGACACAAATATTATCAGCTCCCATAAGGAGAGAAAAATAGAGAGAGATTTCTTTTTTTCAGCAGGCTAATGTGTGGAAACAGATGGTCATCCACATGATCATTCATGGGAACTAACTGTTCGCCAACTGAGAGAATATCTGGAAAATGTGTTTTCTTCTTGCCTTCCTTCCTTTCTTAAACCCTCCTAAAAACAGACAGAAACTAGCTCTGGTGAGGGGGGAAATAAAATAGAGCTTGTCTTCAAAAGATACAGTGTTGGAAAAATAGCATTTGAATTTGTACGTGTAATTCCTTATTATGTCCTGGTTACATATTTAGCAAAATTAGCAAAACAGAAGCTCACATAAACTGTTGCGGATTATTTTAAAAGCCAGTAAGAAACTTATGACGCTTATGAAGTTCAGTCCAGTTAAAGAGAGACTGAGTTTCAATGAAAATATTGGACTTCAGCTTTGAATGTGAGTTTCTTTTGTTCAGCTTAAGCTCACGTGTTTGAGCTCAGGGTATGATTGGATGCTGCTTGAATATTATATTATGAACTGAATACGAGACTGTTTGAAAAATTTGATTAAATATGTCATGCCACTTTCATCTGGACAATGTGACGTGCCGTTTTTATGATCTTAAGCTGTTCAGGTCCCGCTGCCTCTTCATCTTGTCCCCGTTTGAGACCAAAAACTGTTTTCCAGTTTAAACAAGTACATGTTTACTGCACATGGATCAGTTTAAAATACAGATGTGGGTGACTGTTAAATCGCGTGAAAAAAGACAGATGAGACTGCCTGGCATATCTGGTGAATGCTTGGACCACTCATTGTGTGTCATCCGAGGTTGGCCATAGTTTCTGGCACAGGGAATATTTAACAGTCAACTCATAGTTCCTGGAGTTTTCCCTCAAGCTGGGGTATAACCGCCAGCCGCCGGCCAAATGCTTGTAAAATTGTGGCTGTTGTAAAGCTACTGGACAGACTACCAGACACTTTGGAAAGCAATCATCTGTCATCAGGATATTTACATGTATTCCGAAGAGTTTTGACTGGAGAGTGGAAGTGTTTTCTTTAGAGGAAAAATTAGGTTTAATAGCTAATAGTATTTCCGATCTCAACACGTGCTCTTTTTTTTTTCTTAAATCCAAATAGATTTTGGCTCAGTGGATCACTATTTGTATCATCTATAATTCCAACACAGTAAATGGTTCCTTCATTCAGCTATTCAGCAGGGTGTTTACAATCCAAACATAACCACGTGGCTGATGAGAGCAGGACGGCTGCCTGCTGTGTCCTATGTCAGCTCCTGTGAGACTTCCATCTCGAGCTGCTAATAAAGTAATAAGTGACAGCATTGCTTCATCAAAAACCAGAGCGAGCATGCAGGCAGGACCAGGTATGCTCTTTATGTTGAGTGTTATTTTTTATTTGATGAATTTCAGCTGTTACAGCAGAATGAGGTCTAAAAGACTAATTACTCTTTCTTATTCCCCCTTCTTAAAAACGCTCACTTTTATTTGTCAGATGTATTTTTTGGCGACGTTACTATCAGCGGTTTTAAAGACTCATAAATCTTTCACTTTTGCTTTTACACCTCGTCTTATAAATACACTGTGCTGTACATGTTATACTGTATGCTAAAACAAACCCAGAGCACTGTTGAAGTGAAGGCCTGTACAGCTGAGTGTGTTTTTCTGAGTTTTTCTTCTTTTTTTCTTGGAGGAGGGGGATGGGGCGCTGAGTGACTGCCATTCTGTCATGTTATTGCTGTTTGGAAAGACTGCTTCATGCTCCTCGTCTCCCCTCTTGCCAAGTTAGGAGTGTTTTACACATTGACCCACTTTGCTATGGAAAAACATGAAGAAAAAAAGGTTGACATGGTTGTCTTTGACGTGGCATTTGTCTACAGCGGCTGACTTTCGAGTCAGAGAGATGAGAAAAGTAATGCCCCATATGCCCCCGTAGGAATATAACAGCACAGTAAGACCATTTGAGAATTTATTTTAGTTTCCAGTTAGCCTCTAGAAACTTAAGCTTTTCCTCTTGAAAAATGGCAGGTTAGATTATTCTTGCAGTGAGGTCGTACTGATATAGTTAAAAAACACTATGGCATGGTAATATGACATAAATTGTTTAATATTCCATGTCTTCAATTAAAAAATGCCTCAAAATCACAAACACAAGACATATCACACATCTATAATACCGTTTAACGCATAACCTAATCCAAACTACAGAAGCAGTATGTGATTCTGTTGCCACGTCTATAAAGCAGACGTTTTCACAATTTCCAGATTTTTAGTTTTCATGTGTGTTAACCAAGGAGGAGGGACGGGAGCAGTTTTCTCACTGTATGCCCACTTGATCCTTTTTAAAAAGACAAATTGTATAAAAAGCCACACTTTATTAATTGATATCTTAGATTGGCAAACCAAAGGATTATATGCAGCCAGTTCACCAGAATGCTCTATTTGTGCCTCATGTTGCAGCATAGGTTTAGTAAATGAATGCAGACTTACAGATATCTGTCTCACATCCTGTTGTTATGAGCAACAAGCAATTTAATCAGTCATTCATCACTCTTATTTGGAGCACATGAGAGGCCATCTGCCAATAGTCTGTCATAAAGGAGGCGGTGATGGGTGCACCCGATTCTGCGGTACTCCCGCACGCATCAAATCTTACAGTTTTCTTAAATATTTCCATGTCCTTTTGGCAAGAAAAATGTCTTTGACAGTGGACGCTGTATTTTAACTCCAAAGCTTGCAACATTGCACGAAACCCCGTTTCTAATTCTGAGTATAGATGCAAATTCTTAAAAGATTCAATAGGTTGTAATTTGCTTTGCGCGCTCTAAATTGGGATACATCTTTGACGTCACTTGCTCAGTGGTCTGCTGGTTGTCATCAACTAAAGCCCTGTGTTTTTCATCCTTACCGAGCTGGAAATGTGAAATAGGGTTGCTCATGTTTGTCATGCTTCCAAAGTATTTGAGTTTATCCTCAGAGAAGCTGGAGCAGAGCCATACGATAGTTTCCACACAGATGTTTTTTTTTTTTACTCATCTTTTGCATACTGTCAGACTGTCCATAAGTTTACTTCTTACTTTCTTTGAATTTTCTATTCTTTAACAATATCTTCTCAGGTAACCATCCATGTTTGGCATTTTGTGAATTAGTTCAGTCTTCTATATCTCCATGCATCTTGCCTATTTGCTTATTTCCCCAACACTTTTAGAGAAAGTCATCAATCATCCTCGAAGTGAATATTTCCACACATTTAGTTGGAGACAATCGAAATGTCAGACTCAACAAGGTTCAGTTAGCATGTTAGCAGAATAAGTAAGACAGTGTAGCAAGAAAAAGGACTCCATTTCAACATGGGGAAATGGATTAGGTTTGCACTATTGCATGTGAGCAAATTCATCAAACACATACATTACGATCCTGATATGATTCACTTTTTACTGTCATTAATTGTCAGATAAACAATTACCTGCTATCTTAACAGGTAAATAAAATTCTTGTTTGAGCAGATTTAGATGAAAGTGATTTTTTTTGGGGGGGGAGAAAAGCTTTTGGTGTTTACTCTTCTGTCAGCATAGATACATGTCACAGTTTTGACACAACTATTGCTAAAGCACCAGACTTTCAAAGGATCAGCTTTTGAGCTGTGCTTTAAAAGTACATCTTGCTCTTATAGAAGACTTTTTTTTTTTACACTATTCTTTCATGATAACATTATTACCCAGGATGAACATAACATCAGTCAAACTAAAATCTTGGATAGCAGCACTCATTTCAACCTGATTTTAGTGCAATAGCCCCACTGGAGAGCAATATATTGACTGTGAAGCAAATATTTTATGGTCATAATAACAATGTAGCTTTAGTCGCCTCATCGTTCAACCTTATGACATTCGTTTCTGTTCAGTCTGGTGTGTTTTGGCTGAATCCCTGCTAAAGGGGTCTACCACTGAGCTTCTGCAACCGTAGAACAATGTGAAGAAAAAAAAAAGAGAACCCCTAATTCTGTGGATTAATATGTCCCTGTATTATTCATCCAGTTGTAGTAAAAAGTATTTTAGCTGAAATGCAAGTTTACATTTGTAAAATATGCAATTGTTCAAACGAGATTCACGTCACACTTGTTGTGTTTGTTGCTCATCGTTTTACCAGGTTAGAGAAGCAGGTGGCCTAGTTTTATCTGGCTGTTAGGGCAAACTCTTCGGTCATCACATCCTGCAATATCTTTGTGGCTGGACATCTTGTCCCGGTAGCGACAGGAAGTGGGAGGTTTGGCCCTGCTGATGGTATCCCGAGGTCAGAAACCCCTCCTCATTCAGTAGGTAACTGGGTCAGGAGATTTTACATTCTTCCTCTCCCCCACAGAATAGGTTATAAATTGTAATGCAAGTTTCTGTATAATTGGAGCATCTTGGTATGTCGTACGGCTGTGTGCAGCATGCTGTTTGAATTAAACTACTATCTCTTGCCCGCTCAAGAAAGTACTTTTGTCTCTCTTTGAAAAATGAAAATTTCCGCTACAGGAGAAAAAAAAGAAACATCATTCGGACTGATATTGATCATGACTAAAAAGTTTTTAAATTTTTCAGTCTCGAACAAAGAGCGGCTCTGCTGGCTTATTTAGATATCAGACATTGAAAAATTTGATTTTTACAAAGTTTATGGGGGAATATCAAGGTCCGTTAATTGTGGAAGCCTCAGAATACCTTTTAGATCATAAACAAATTGAGAAAGCTAGCTTCTAGACAGAACGCATACTTGAACCTTCAGTCTTGAAATCGGGAAATCCTAATAGTGTAGAATTAGAATTTTTTTAAAAACTTGTAAAAAATAAAAAACTATTTTTATAGAGCATTCCCAAAATATAGGAATACCTCATTCAGAGGAATTTCTAAATTAGACAGTATTCCTACGACAAGGTTTCCTTTCTTCACTTGGCAGATTTAATTGTAGTCTAACTAGATTATCTCTACCGTAAGGTTTTTGCTTGAGGAGTGCTCTGACCAGCAACAACCAGCAGGTAGACTTCAGAGGAAAACGATTAAATTCACAGTGGAGTGTATCGACATTATTTTCATCTATAGACTTCTTTGAGTTATAGTCTGCGACAAACTAACTTAAAAGGCATAGTCTGTGATTGATCTTGAGGGTTTGTGTAGCTTGTCTGTGTTTGATGACATGACAGTGTTTTTCCTTCCCAGTTAAAATTCAAGGTGCATTTCTTCATATTTGTGGGTCTTTTACTGAAAAAATAGATTTGGTAGATTATTACTGAGACCTAATCACAGGTCTGTTGTGGGTCACTTGGAGTGGTGTTTGGATGGTGGTTATCTCCCATTTGAAAAGGGGGTTTACTGATTAAACCTGATTAATGACTAACTCTCAGCTGCGTGCAAAGGTTAATGATTAATACATTTCCCAATAAAATCAATTCCTAGTGTCTTCAGATACTTACTTCATTTTCCATTACAACTTTCCATTTAACTCCAAGATTTTGTGTTTAAAAAACATCAGTGTGGAAGAAAAATCTAACTGATTCACATTATCAAGCCCAAAGTCTGAGACCCAGGCCCAGGGCCCAGGTTTATTGGCATTTCAGATAACGGATTATCTTTTTTTTCTTCTTTTTTTCTCATCTTGGTCAGATTTAATTGTAACTTCATATCTCTGAATGTTATGACTTCAACTAAAAGCCACACCCAAGCAAACAGTGTGATCCTGCCTCTATATTAATATACTAACATTCTGTAATCTGGCATTTTCAGACTTAATCAATTCTGCTACAGCATAGGTACTGATAGATGACCTGCTATCTACTGAATAATGTTTTACTTTAAGTCTTAACGTCTTTTTTATTCAGATACGTTCTCTGACTGCTACCAAGTTAACCAGCATGTACATTAACTGTTATGTATATTTGTGTCATGCTGGGTAAAGAGTATATGGTGTCCATGCTTCCATACATGGGACTCGATACATTAATCATTTGCTAATTATGCTGCCAGGAAATATGACCCTCACCTCAACCCCGTTTAGCATTCTTAGCAGCAGAGGCTAATGTCCTGCTCTGTGAACCAAACAGATGCTGGATGGCTGACATAGTTGTCTCACGCCTTCTCAGTCATTCAGGCGTTATACATGGAGATTTGATTTCATCACAAGCTCACACAGTCTTTACTGATTTCAAAGGCCTCACTGGACTGGTCTCCAAAAAGCTGACTAAATAACACAGATTGTTTATCTTTAATAACAGCCCAAAACCAATGAAGTTGGGACATTGTGTAAAACGTAAATGAAAAATGGAATACAGTGAGTCTGACATCTGGTTCAGCCTTTATTCAGTTGAATACACTAAAAAGACAAGTTTATTTTTTTAAATGATAGGCTTTATTGTATTTATGTAAATGTTCACTCATTTTGAATGTGATGCCTGCAACAACCTTAAATAAAGGAAAGCAACGAAAGTTAGGGAGAGTTAAAAGAAAAAAATGTTTGGAACATTTCAAAGGTGAACAGATTAATTGGAAACAGGTGAGTGTCAAGATTGGGTATAAAAGAAGGATTTCCGAAAGGCTCAGTCATTCACGAGAAAGGATGTCGCGAGGTTCACTACTTTGTGAACGACTCCTTAAGCAAACCATCCAAGAGTTTAAGAACAATGTTTCCCAGCATGGCTAAAATTGCAATAAGGCTAAGGTTTCACCATCTGCAGTCCATAACATCAACAAAAGATTCAGAGAATCTGGAGAAATCACAGCAAATCAGCAGCAGGACTGGAAACCAACAATGAATGAACATTGAAATATAAACCTCAGGTGGTGCTACTAAAACCAACATTGTAATGTGATCTATATTAATCCTCCATATTTACAGTGTCCTTTTCATGACAGATGGTGTTAAGCTTAAACATACAGTACATATGTTTCACATTCATTGTTCATTTCAGAAAATACCATTCTAGTTCTAGCTAGACCCATCTGTGTGTCTCATTTCAGCACAGGCTTCTGTTACACTCTTCCTCTAACTGTGTTGGCTAGCTCATGTCTAACCACTGCTGTCTGACTTCTAAAAAAGACGTGGCAGCTGTTCAGACTCCAAATAATGACCTCGTCTTATCTGAAGTTCTCATTGTCTGTCAACCCTGAGGTACTTTTTCATCCATCTTAAACATTTGCTGCTTCTGTTTTTGTTTTATAAAATAGAGTATGTCAACTCTTTGCTATTTTTTTTCTTTTCTTTGTTTTGTTTTTTTGGCTGAAGCATTCGACCCTGGGGTGAGGAGACACCCAACCACTAACCATCGGTCTGCACCCCCGCCTCCCCTGCAGATGGACTCTGGATTTAGTGAGATTTAATCTGTATGCAGGGAAGTGTTTAAATGTGGTTGTGAGTTTTTTTTTCTTTTAAATCTGGACATCAGGCGGCCTTTGTTGAGGTGATGAGAAGGAAGGAAGATTGAAAGAGACAAAAGCAAAAGGAACAGAAATTACAGAAGGAATTCACACGCTCCTTTCATACAGGGTGAATCCATTAGTTTGTTTGTTCTCCTTTCAACTGGGTCAATGAACTCACAAGAAAAAGGCCGTCCTGTGTTGAACTTGTGCGTGTGCAAGCATTTATGGGTGTTTTTGTGCGCACTCTCCTGTATGTGTGCGCATGAGACGGCGAGCTGCTGGTTGAGAGGGTATTTGCAGATGTGTGCATACTTGCATGATGGACAGTGTTGGCCTTTCAAAGCATGAGCATGCATGCTCGCACAAAAGATGACGTAAACTTGTGCACACTTGTGCACACACACACATCACCTTGCTGTTTAACCGGCAGTAGCAGCGTGAAAATGTTTTGCCTTCTCTGTGGGCCTCTTTGAGATTCCTTCAGCGTGCTTGTGTCCCTCTGCTCATCAAACAGTCAGTAATCTGTTTTCCCAGACGGCAACGCTTAATTTGATCTGATATTCTAAATGCGCAGAAATATACCATAACGGTTCTTTTCACCTGAACTTTTTTCAGCCGCCCTTCTAAAGTTTCCCGTACTAATCTTATAAATGTCTCTCGGTGGCAGTTGTGATCATGATGGATTAAAGGTTTCTGCACGGATCTGTAAGCGTGTGTTTGTGTGGGCAGACTTAAGGCTTAGGGTCTATGAAACTGAATTGTGGCAGGTTTCAGGATGTCTGTTGCTACTGTTGTTCTAAGCTAAGTCTCCTGGAATAATATGTGGGAAGATCTAACATGGAGGTTTTCCATTCCGCCAACGGACAAAACATTTTAATATCTAACCTTCGGGTGTATTAAAAAATACCCGAAAACATTTTTAAAATGTACCTATCACAAGCAAAGGCGTTGCAGGGATCAAATTCAAAAGGACATCAGTGTTCAGAATTTAGTTTACGATCCTTAGACATATTTGCATTGAATTTTCTTCATTGCTTTTGTGTTTTATTACATTTTGCAACAAATTTCAACTTAAATTGTAGTATGGGTTGGAGAGAATACTCCTTTAACTCGCTGTCTGGTGATCACACCTCATTTCACCAACGGATTTTATGACTCCTATTGCATCTATGTTCCAGATGCAGGAGCTGGAGCAGAGAGTTATGGAGGCTGACCAGAGGGCTGAGAATGCTGAGAAACAGGTATAAAGAAAAACTTTTTTTTTTTTTTAGATTGTGAATTCTACCTTTTTCCGTCAAAATCAGTGGTGTTTCCATTTTATTACTCGCATAAGCTACCAAAAATGACATTGTAGTAAATATCTCAAAGGCAAATGACGAGAGTTAATGAATTAGTTTTTGAAACATGCCTACCTTTTCCTTTTATTAAAATCTAAGTGGTGTCATTAGAGAAGATAGTTTATAGCTTTTCACAACACTGTCGAAGACAAATTCTCATAGCTGAGCAGTAAGTGGAGTATGAGGAAATCTTGAGCGTGGGATTTAGAACATCAAAAGCAGACTTAACTAAAACTGCTGTGGTTTTAGGATTACAAGCCTCATACATACCCCACTCACTGTCTCTCCTGCTGTCAGTTTTAATCACCAATTTGCTGTCATTACTGTCTGTTCGAGGTGTTTTCTGTAGGTGGTAATTTAGGGTTGCCCTCTCTTTTAAAAACATGAAATACCTAAGGGCTTAGAAAGCTCTTCTCGGCAGAGCTTGTAAATGCTGTCTACTGTCTTTGCTAAACTAAATGAACCATGCAGATTTGATCTGTCTTTAGTCTGGGCTTGTGCATTCACTCCTCTAATTGTGCATTTCAGATCCATGTCATGGAAGAAAAGCTGAAGTCTGCAAACATACAGACCAGTGAATCCGAGAGCTCGTTGTGCAGAAAGTATCAAGACCTGACCGATCAGGTTGAAGAAAAAGATGCCAAAATAAAGAGATTAGAGATGCAGCTGGAAAAACAGGTATGGGCAGAAGCATCAGATAAAGAGGAGAAATGCCCATTTATGTGCATGAAATGTATGTTCAATTTCACCCTGCTTTTTGTTTGTAGGTCTCGGTCAGAGCACAAGAGGCAAAAATCATTGAGGAGAAGGCTGCCAAAATTAAAGACTGGGTCACTTTTAAGCTGAAAGAGGTGAGCTGACTAATTGTTGCAGAAACGTGGAGCTGGGGATGAAAAGGATATAATATGTGGAATTTACAGCTCTTTATATTAATTCCTTTTGGGGATTTCTGTATCTTGGTGAGAGCTCTGATGGTGAATAAAAGCTCAACAGCAGGTTATACCAGCGATAGTCCCTGTGTGCTTAATGCTACAACTGCATTTGTCTGGTGACAGATGGAAGTGGAGAACCAGCAGCTGAAAACGGCCAACCTGAAACAGACAGAACAGATCGTGTTTCTTCAAGACAAACTGCAGTGTGAGTACGGCATGATTTATGCTTTTTCAAAAGTCATTGCTGACAACAGAATCACCTGTTGGGCTCATTACTTGGCACCTAGGGATCATGGCATGCATTGCTTCACCGCAGAGACATTCCAGGCAGTAGCTCACATGGCTAATTATTATGATGTCTGGAGGATATTTCTCAGCTGTATTCAGGCTTGTTGTTATATAACTGTAAGTTGACCTCCACTGTTTTCCAGCTCTCTTAGAGAAATCAGCATCCTGCGGCTCTCCTGCCACTTCCCCTGTGCTGGACGCCCACCTGGTGCCCTGCAGCCCGCTGTTTCCTCCCAGCTCTCCCGGCACGCCACCCGCCCAAGATGACAGCTGGAGACACACGGGTCACCGTGGGGCCGCTTCAAATGTCAAGATCCTGCAGCCAGGTAGAATCCGTGTGGTATATTCTGTTCTGAGAAGCGGGACGCTTTTGCACCAATGCAAAGCTGAGTTGATTCCATGAGTGGTTGTGTTCCAAATACGTAAAGCATCCACGATGAGCTCATATTGTGGAATCTTTAGAGATTATTTCCATTTCTTTCTTAATGTCTTGGCTCTCACAGATGTAATGACTGTGAATAAATTCTCCTCAGATGTGAAAAGGACTCCTGAGCTGGGCAGAAAAGGAGTCTGCCTGGCAAACCTTGCAGTCCATGATGCTTATAGTAGGATCAGGGAGGGTCCCAGCAGCCCCACCGGCGGACCTGATTTCCCAATGGGCCCTGAGGCAGAGTGTTCTGACAGAGACAACTCGTCTGATGAGCTCAACAGCAAGTTTCGCTCTCAGTGCCTTCACTCATCCTCGTCATCTTCTTCTTCCTCCTCTGCTTACGAGATAGCACATGGGAAAAGATCTCCAGAGTCCACCATCAGAAGAACACCGAAAAGCCCACTCCTCTCCCGCTCCCCTTCCACCAACAACCCCTTTCCCAATCCTTCCAGGCCTCTCGTTCACCACTCGGGTACCAGCATGACGTTACCTAAAGTGCGGACTCCGCTCACACCAAGGGACAGCATCCACCTGGTCAAGAAACATTACAGCCAGCCGCAGCCCAGCATGGACAGACTCCACCACCTCAACGTTAACATAGACATCATGACACCGTCCTCCGCTTCCTCCACTCTGAAGAGCACAGGCACTACCATCTCTCAGCTTGTAGAAGAGACGGACATTGATGCTGGGCCCCCAGATAACATGGACGGAGTGGTGGAGGGTCCACATTCAGATGAGCTATCCGGGGATGGGGTTTCCTTTGTGGGGCTTGCAGAGGAACTGGAGCAGTTAGATTCAGAGGTTCTCAAGCCTCCAACTCCTCCTCTGCATCGATTCCCCTCATGGGTATAAAAAACCTGCATGATTCTTGTATTATTTCATAAAGGAAAAAAAATCCAAGCAGTTGTTTTAGGGTTTTTTTTGTATCTGTGAATAGACTTTTTTATTTTAAAGAGGAATTATTTGTGGTTTTTACCTGGAAGTAGTTGGACAAAGATCTTACAGTAAAATTATGAACTGTTGTATTTAAAAGCTATTTGAGCAAATTAAACATATAAATGAATGAGTTAGCTTTTTGTGGAGCTGATGTAAAAGATGAATTAATCTATAGGCCTGAGGGTAAAATCTCAAAGGGGATGTTGTCTTGAAGTGAGGTTATTATGTACATTTATGACAGCATTTGTTTCTGCAGGAGAGTCGGATTTATGCTGTGGCTAAGTCAGGAATGCGGGTATCAGAGGCCAGCACTGGAGCTAAGGGTCCTGGACGAGGTGAGACCCAAATATCGTCTGCTCGTTCATCCCTGCACTAATGCCACAGCAAAAAATAAACCCCATTCCTGCATTATTTTTTCAAATTGTGTGCCCCGGACCTGGTTGGTGTTGTTTGTTGTGTGTGGGAAACATCAGTGCACCGACATGTCTTTTAACTGATGCTAAAGCTGCCGTGGGGGGTGTGAGTGTGGCCTGTTTGGATCTGTCATTGCTGCTTTTGATGTCACTTCCTCTGGCCTGAGGCACCAGACACCTGTGCAGGTGTGGGCTTTTAGCCTGCCTCCGGTGTCTTTTAAGAGCCGTGAAAGATAATGGAAGGGAGTTTGGGGGGGGGGGGGATGAGCATGGTTGGAGTCTGCTTTTTAATCAGCTGTAATGAAGGGACATGGCCTGGGTGTAATTACTGCCTTGTTTTCTGTCCCGACATCATTCATTTTGCCAGGCTGCAGCCAATGAGGTCTAACTTTGCCAGTTGAAATTTTTACTGTAGTGGAATGGGTTTTAGCTTGCTCAGCTTATTCTGCTCCCTGATAAAATGTGTGCATGTATGTCTATGTATATATATATATACATAGACATACATGCA